AGCAGGGATCTAGAGAAGCCAGCATCATAGCAGTTAATGGGGAGGGGCTGGGCTATTGACTAAACTATAACAAAATGTAAGCATTGTATTAGCTCCTCACTGTATTAGCTTTTTAAAAAGACCCTTGCAATTATTTATTAACCACTCTGGAATCTCCCTAGCCTTTGCTGAGACACCACTGTCATGCATAGGATCCGACTGGCTAGAGCCCCTTGGGCAGAAAGCATGTGGTCCCAGCCTCCTGAGGACCCTCCTCCCCTCCCACACCCTCACTTGCACCCTCCACTGTCATTGGTCCAGGCTGCCTCCGTTCCCCTCCTGCAAATGTTTATTCCTGCCCTGAGCCTTTGCCCAGATAGGCTTCCTCGCTCCTCACTCTTTCCTCTCCTGATCACAGCCTCCTGATCCCTGGGGTGCCAGCCAATCTATCCTCCGCCGTGCGGGCCACCCCTCACCTCCCAGGCTCAGGCCACACTGCCTTCTCCTTCCTCTGAATGCCTGCGGCCTTCCTTGTCACAATGGCTCCTCTGTGCACCTGGTGCAATGATTTGGCAGCGTCCTGAAACTACAGCTCGTCTTCCTGTTGGAATTGCCATCCGCATGAGGGCAGCCCCTGAGCTTCAAACACAGGGCAACTGGCAGGAAAGTCTTGGCACGACGTGTACGGCCCTCCCCCAACCGGCACTACCCCACGCTCCATTTCCGGCACAACCCTCCCCGAACTCAGTCACATGCCTCATTCATCTTTGTTTCAAGACTCCACTCTCCAACCCCAGCTCAGCACCTTGCACATAGCAGATACTCAAAATGTTGTTGACTTGAAAACACAAATATTCATCAGGTGGAATCAATATTGTTCTTTTCAGGGGGTTCGAAGAGAGAAAGAACCAGCTTTTGGGATGCTGGGACGCTCAGCTTGGCCTCTGTTTAATACTGAACACCCACGGAAGTCTTCAAGGGGCCATGAGGCCTTATAACCGTGACGCAGTTGAGTTCCAGCTAGAGAGAACACGGCCACACAGAGCAGAGACCAGACATCTCGGGGCCTGTCCGAGAGCAGCTCGGGGCACAGTTTGTCCGAATCTGCTCTTTGGTAATAAGCACAGTGAACATATAATTTATCGCTCAGACCAGGACACTTTTGAGAGAGAACTGGTAATTATGCTGGGACTATCCCAGATAAGCAAGCAGGACGGTCACCTCAAGCAATCAATCATGTTCTGTGGCCAAACCCCTCCAAGGAAAAGACAAAATACAGTTTTCTAAACATAAGAACGTGCTAAACCTCAAAGTAGAGCTTGGTGCCAAGATTGCTTTATTTTAAAAGCCAATTGTGTTGTTGAAGAAAAGGCTATGTTCTCGGCCCATTTTGGCTATGGTCGGAGACTGCTTAGGGAATTGTCTTAAAGTTGTATATGCTCCCGGGCCTGGGGTTTTCTGAAAACAGAGCAGAAAACAGGGACTGATGAGACAGTGAAACCAAAACCCTGAGGCTCCTGTGCCTGGCTGCTGGCTTGGATGTGGTGGACAAATTCCCCAAGGATGAAGACCAGAGCCACACCAGCCTGGGCTGAAACCTGGCAGACCCTCTAATTGGAACATGTCCTTGGAGCAGAGGCTGCTCCTGTTAGGGGCTCACCATGAGGCTGGAGGGGGGCTGAGAGGCCAGGCCAAGCCAGGGGCCACCTAGAACCTGCTGGGAGAGGTGGGGTCACATGCCACCTGCACCTCAAGGCACACCTTCTCCCAAAGAGCACTTGGCCCAGGCAACTCCTATCCCAAAGAATGCCATCATCCTTCCCCCGGTGACCTCGGCCTGGCAAGAAGTGAGTGAAGAGAATGAGTTCTGAACCTGGTTAGTCTAACTCAAAAGCCCAAACTGCCTCTCAAACTCGGGTTGTGTCTTAGTTATTGACCCAGAGTTATTAAAGTAAGGTACTTCTCAACCAGGGTCCACGGACCCCAGGGTCAGAAGTATTCTCAAGGGATCCACAAGTTCTAATTTTTGAAAGTCATGTTTTTGGTTTTATAAAATGCTTGAACAAATATTATTATTATTATTTATTCATTATTATTATTTTTTTGAGAGAGTCTCGCTCTCACCAGGCTGGAGTATAGTGGGCGTGATCTCAGCTTACTACAATCTCTGCCTCCCAGTTTCAAGCTATTCTCCTGCCTCAGCCTCCCGAGTAGCTGGGATTACAGGTGCCACCACCACCACACCCAGCTAATCTTTTTTGTATTTTTAGTAGAGACGGGGTTTCACCACGTTGTCCAGGTTGGTCTCAGTCTCCTCACCTTGTGATCCACCCACCTCCGCCTCCCAAAGTGTTGGGATTACAGGCATGAGCGACCGCACCCAGCCGGTTTTTTTTTTTTTGTTTGTTTGTTTGTTTGAGATAGGGTCTCACTCTGTCACCCAGTCTGCAGTGCAGTGGCACAATCTCAGCTCACTGCAACCTCCACCTCCTGGGCTTAAGCAATTCTCATGCCTCAGCCTCCCGAGCAGCTGGGATTACAGGGGTGTACCACCACACCTGGCCCTATTTTGCCAATTATTTAAACAAAGCTTCTCTTCTGTAGTGATAAAATACAAATAAATGCCATTTTCACAGACTAAGACTTCAATTTCTTTTTTTTTTTTTTTTTTTTTTTGAGACAGAGTCTCGCTCAGTTGCCCAGGTTGGAGTGCAGTGGAACAATCTCAGCTCACTGCAAGCTCCGCCTCCCAGGTTCATGCCATTCTCCTGCCTCAGCCTCCCAAGTAGCTGGGACTACAGGCGCCCGCCACCACGCCCAGCTAATTTTTTGCATTTTTAGTAGAGACGGGGTTTCACCGCGTTAGCCAGGATGGTCTCAATCTCCTGATCTCGTGATCTGCCCACCTCGGCCTCCCAAAGTGCTGGGATTACAGGCATGAGCCACCGCGCCTGGCCTAAGACTTCAATTTCTTAGGTCGATGTCTCCCATGCTGGGGGCACATGCACATATTCTTGAAGGCATTTGAGACAACAGTGTAATGATTAAGATCAAGGGTTTTAGAGCCCAACAAGCCTGAGTTCCAGTCCTAGTCCCACCACCAATGGCTCAGTGGGACCCTGGGCATGGGCTTCCCACACCTTGCCCATCAAACGGCATAGAGTACCTGCCTCTAAGGGGCTATGAGGCTCACTGGCGCCTCTCTAAGACAAAGAGACTTGGACAGGCCAGCAGTTAGCTACCACCACTATTATTCTCTACTATTACCACCTACTTATCATTTCTACCCTGCCCTGCAGTTTCTTATCTCTTCAGGAGACAGTGAGAGTGGAGCAGAGCAGTCAGTCCAGAGCACATGAGATCAGCTGCCTGCAGAAACCGCTTTAAATGACAGGATGTTTCCCTTGCCAAAAGCAGAGGAGCAGCCTGGAAATCTAATCAAGTCCTGGCCAAACGTCAAAGGAAGCTGAAGCCTTTATTAGTGCTATTAATGAGGGTGCAACGTGCACGTGGAGTCCTGGGAGGCCAGGGCAGAGAACAGAAGGTTCAGGGGGCCTGCACCCCCACAAGGCCACCTCTTGGGAGGCTGTTGGTTGGGGTTCAGCCACCTTGAGAACATCAAGCTCAGTTCCCCTCCCCTGATTTCACTGCCACCAACAACCTTCTGGTTGTCTTCAGCTTCCATGAAAATTTTCTATAAGGGAGAGACTCCACCAATCAGTGCTCTAGTCACCAGGCCCGTATGGTGAATGCTTAGAAGTTAACACCACCTCTTCTGGCTTCTTGCTCAGTTGCCTGGGAGTTTGGTTAGCATGACTCAGTGTTCCTGAGAATGCCCGATCCCGTGGGCTCTGACAAACATGTTTCTGGATCATGGTGATGCCACTAAGGTGTGTGGATCCCCCAGCCTCCTGCTGTCGGTCTGTCTACAATTTCACTGGCAGGGCCTCCCCATTATCAATCTAGATAAAGGCTGTGCTACCTTACTCTGCTGCCCAGCAGCTCTGGGGCAGAGATTCTGAAGGCCATGGCCTGGGACATGGGCTAGGTAGGGCTAGAGGAGGTGATTTGCAGCCCAGGCAGTGGCAGCACTAGTCCTCTCCTACCCACCACTCCAACTTCTCCTCCTAGTCCCTTGATTCCCCCTGGGTGGGCCCGTTTTCTTACAGGCAGAATTTGTATTTCTGTCTCCCCAGCCACCTCAAATGAGTCTATATACCAGCAAGTCTTGGGGACTTTCAGACCGAGTTGCAGACTGAAAGCAACAAAGCTATGGGAATTAAAACTCTTTTGACATTAAAAAAAAAAAAAAATCCACTGTTGGTAAACTTCACATTACGCTTTTATAATCTTTCCTGGTCTTCTTTAGGTTTGGAGTCGTCCTGCACGCTCCCAGGATCCACGTTCTTTGTATCTCTCCATGGACCTGAGCCTCTACCCTGTCTGTCCTGAGTCTCTGGGGATTGGGTGATCACTAATGCCTTAATGGTCCCATTCGGTTCAATAAAAATGTTTCTGCTTCAAATTTTGCTTCCTTGGGCTCCCAGAAGCCACACACACACAGAATAGCCATTCTGGCTGGCAGGAGGCAGCCACTGCAGGCACCCCCAACAAAGTATCTAGTTGGTAACATTGATGGCTGATTAATGTGCTGCTTCCAAGTGGCCCCATAATTCAGCCACAGATTTGGGGCCTGGAGTCACTCTGAATCTGAAGATGGTTGAAAATGTCCAGGTATTTGAGCATTTCACTTCTGATTGCCTTGACAGGCAACTGTATGTACCAGAACTGTATATACATGATCATTCCCTCATCTCACCACCAGCCCGCACCTCCCACACACACAGGAACAGAAAACCTACCACCATAACCATGCCCCTGGGGGCGGGGGGTGGTCTGTCTTTCCGAATACTTACTGAACGGCTGGGCAAGAATCGAGGGACTCTGGATTGAAAACAAGAAGTGATAGAGCTTGTTGGAGGTATTTTCACATTATAATCACCTGGACCAGGGCCTTCATGCTATTGAACATTTAAAAAATTGCTTCATTATTATTATACTAATATTTGATATATTTTAATGCTTTATTTGCCTTCTACAAATAAACATATGAATCAATATGATATAGTAGAAAAATCCCATGTTTGGTCTCAAGAGATCTCATTCAGGGTATGAGCTGGGACAAGTCGCTGTGAAGCGGGAGTAACTCCTGCCTCACCTCCCTTGTGTACGACGGGGAGGAGTGAAGGAGGGTTAGGTGAGCAGCACCTGCCTCCCTTGTCCCTGCCAGCATCCCTGATGCCCCTGGGCTCCCAGCCCACACTCAGGTCCCCCCGTCCCCTCACAGCAGCATGCATGCCTCATGCCCTACTTGTCCCTCTGACTGTTAAAGGTGACTTGCTGCTCTAAGCTGTTAGCTTTATAACAATGCTCATTCTTTCATATAAATGTCATATATGTTATCTTAGTCCAAAAAAGATTCATAGCAATTCACTGATATAAGCACAATGCTCTGAGATTAACATAAATAGGTGAACACAATTTTAAAAAGACAATCACTCCAGTAGCAAAGTTAGCAACAGCCAATTCATACAGAGGATATACAAACATTTAATGAGCAAACTTCGAGGAAGGAGGGCTTTCACCTCATTTATAACCACATACATTCTAATTTAAAAAACAAACTTCCTTTTTTTTCCCCCACAGAGTGAGGAGAAGGGGTTCTAAAAATTAAAAAAAGGTTAACAAAGAAGAGAGAGAGAGGAAGGAAGAAAGGGAGAAAGAAAAGGAAGGAAAGAAGGAAGGGAAGAAGGAAGGGAAGGGAGGGAGGGAGGAAGGAAGGCGAGAGGGAAAGAAGGAAGCCAGAGCTTTAACAACCAGCACGAGCACTCCTTATATGATGCTGGCAGAAGCATGAATTCTCTCAGCCTTTCCAGAGTGCAATCTGGGAAGATATGAAACAGCTTAAAAACATATACGCCTATCTAGAGAGAGAGAGAAAGAAGACAGGAGAATGGTTATTGGTTGTTGCAGGAAACCAGGGAGACAAATGATGAGTCTTGAGTCTAGAATGTGGCAGGGAGGTTCCGGTTGCAGAGTTGAGTGTCCTGAGAGGTCAGATTGAATTCAGACATGGCCCATGGACATGGACATGAACATGGACACCATAAAATGGAACTTCCAGATTATAGACAATGGAAGATAGAAGGGACACCATTAGAAGATATCCAGAAGAAGCTGGCTGCAAAAGGGCTAAGGGATCCATGGGGCTACAATGAAGCTTGGAGATACATGGGCGGCTTTGCAAAGAGTGTTTCCTTTTTTGATGTATTCTTTAAAGGATTCAAATGGGGATTTGCTGCATTTGTGGTAGCTGTAGGAGCTGAATATTACCTGAATTCCCTGAATAAAGATAAGAAGCATCACTGAAGATAATACCTGGAAGTATCATAGTGGTTTCTTAACTCTCCAAAATAAGATTTCTTCACTATAACCTACTCGTCTGGTTTGTCCCTTACAGAATATTAGTAAGATTTAATAAAGTAAAATAAAATATATATATGCCAAAAAAAAAAAAAAAGAATGTGGCAGGGAAAATGGGAATAGCCCAAACACTACACTGGATAATGCTAACATGATGTTCATCTTTTTTTCCCCCTAGTAATTCACTTTTTTTCCCCCTCCATTTTCAAATAGCTAATGTTCCTTGCCTCCGGGGTGGGACAGGGCAAAAAAACAGAAATAAGTGTTTTTCTAGCATGATGTCTTGGATCTGTTTCTAAATAATGCAGGAGTTAGGGGAAGCAGGTGGGAGTAGTAGCCCAAAACACTGGCCTAAAGCTGAACATTGTGGAATTGTTGACTAGGTATATGAGGTTTCAATACAGTATTCTAAGTTATATATATTTTTCAAGTTTTCACAAAATGGAGTTTAAGACAACGTATATTTATTATTTTGACCCAGCAATTCCAGTTGTAGGCATTCACCCTAAGAAAACAATTGAGAATGCGTGCAAATATTTAGCCACAAAGACTGTAACATTGTTTCCAAAAGTGAAAACTGGGAAATAAACTAAATCATGGATGATATGTGCCTGGTTAAATAAATTACAATGCTTCCATCCAGCAGTCCAATGTTGATGAGTTTTTATAGACATAACAACTACTCCCAAATGTCATTAAGTCAAAAATGCAAGCTGAACAAATGTGCATAAAAATACTTGGAATGAAATTATCTCAGAATGTTCATAAACAGTAGCTTTCTTGGGGTAGTGGTGTGTTGAACAAAAAGGAAACAAAAATCTTTTTTTGCTTATATGCATTTTCTAATTTTTCTACAATGAACAGAAGTACTCCTGAAACAAGAAAAAAAGATAACGTACAGATAAATGACTATGGAAGTTAGGTAAAGAAAAAAAGAGGCCAGGCATGGTGGCTCATGCCTACAATCCCAGCACTTTGGGAGGCCAAGGCTGGTGGATCACTTGAGGTCAGGAGTTCAAGACCAGCCTGGGCAACATGGTGAGACTTTGTCTGTAAAAAATATAAAAATTAGCCAGTTGTGGTGGTGTGTTCCTGTGGTCCCAGCTACTTGGGAGGCTGAGGTGAGAGGGTCACCTGAGCCGCAGAGGTCAAGGCTATAGTGAGCCATGATCACGCCACTGCACTCCAGCCTGGGAAACAGAATGAGGCCCAAGAAAAGAAAAAAGAAAAGAAAGAAAGAAAAGGGGAGGGGAAGGAGGAGGGGAGGGGATAGGGGAAGGGAAGGGAGGGGAGAGGAGAGGAGAGAGCCAGCAGTAAGGTCATAACAGGGACATGTATCTGTAAGATCCTTATAACAGGTAAGGTTGGCCACGAATGAGCGCCTCAGATTTTGCAGAATAAGCACTGCGCTGCAGACCCTCCACAGTTGGTTTTTTTTTTTTTTTTTTTTGAGACAGTCTCACTCTGTCACCCGGGCTGGAGTGCAGTCATGCCATCTCAGCTCACTGCAAGCTCCGCTTCCCGGGTTCAAGCGATTCTTCTGCATCAGCCTCTCAAGTAGCTGGGACTACAGGTGCGCGCCACCAAGCCTGGCTAATGTTTATATTTTTAGTAGAGACGGGGTTTCACCATATTGGCCAGGCTGGTCTCAAACTCCTGACCTCATGATCTGCCCACCTCGGCCTCTCAAAGTTCTGGGATTACAGGCGTGAGCCACTGCACCCGGCCCTTCCACAGGATTTAAAGCAAGACTTTCCCATTCTTTCTGGCAGGTGGCACAGCCACGTAATCAGGGCTGCCATTCTCAATTACTCCACCATGAATGGAGTCTGTTATTATCAGCCAAGCACACATCTGATCATCAAGGGATAGATGCACCTCATCATTTTACAACTCATGGCAGAGAGATGACAACAGTCGTATTTTCAAACTGATGTATATACGTGTGACAGAGGTTGCTGTCAGGGTGAGGCTCTCTGTTTGGTGTGAATTCTGCACTCACATTGAATAAATCTAAGCCGTAAGAAACACAAAGAAGCAAAATGCCAAGAATATCTGCACAGGAACAGTTTGTGCAGAAGCCTCTCAGTTTGGCTATAATAACAGAGTACTCTGAAGCCAGATGAGTAGCTGGGGCAAGAGATGATGCTGGGTGTGCTACCACTGATTCCACACCTATGGCGGCCATCTGCAGAATGGCTAAGAAAGGAGCGACCTGCCCGTTTTCCCCAGGCCTAATGCGGCTTTGCTTTCTAAAGCTTCCTAGTCTCAAGCTGCCTGGGAGTCCAGGCATGAAGCCTGATGAAGCGTGATGCATTGCCATCCCATCCAGCAGTTTCCTTGCGTGGACTTGGCCATCTGAATCAAAGGGACTAAGATGTGTTGCAGAAAGAAGTTACTGAACGCTATTCCACATGTGGCAGATGGGATCTTTAAGAGGGAGCATTAGGGAAGTGGATCTAAGCCCAAGTTCATATTCCAAAGCCACAGGCATGTTGCGGCAAAGCCATGACTATTCTGAGACTGCTCATGGCTGGGTCCTGCAATGGCCAGGAAACAACTCTAGCCGAGTCCCCACTGCTGCCCCATCTGAGGACAGCTTGAGTGGATAGATGGTTCGGGATGTGCCATTTCTGAACCCAGTTCAATGGGAGGGTGTTTAAAACAAGAGGGACATTTGAACCACATCCTCTTCCTTAAAGCTGAGCACTCTGCTGTCTCCTTTACTGGGGATCCTCAAGTGTGATCTAGACCTTGGGTCTCACATTGTGTATGATATGTGTGCAAAGGGGGGCCTCGGGTTCACCAAGCAGCACTAAGCACCTCTTCCACAAATCAAATGGGCCGTTTCTTAAACCTTGCTTTTGTCAGGGTCATGCTTTGGCAACTGTGGGTTTCCCAAAGCTAAACCTTTCGAATACCACTGACAAAAACTCTGTCTCCAAGGGAGAGCAGAATAGTCACCTTCCTAGAGTCCTAGAACTCGATGTCAAAAGAAACAACAGGGAAGCTTTATAGTATCTATTCCTCAGCTCTGGTGCACGATTACATCTCAAGCCTCCTGATGAGAATATCATTCTCTTCCCTTAGAAAATGCCCTGTTTAATTGTGCTTTTACTTGAGGGCCACTTTAACCAATGGGAGCTGCAAGGATTATTACACAGATGAATAAAATACTCTCTTTGGCCTCCGAGGAGTTTGGAGTCCAGTGAGGGATACAGGCAGAACCAAACAGAAACACCACAAAAGAACAAATGGAGGTAGGAGGGGCTGGAGTGGTACTGAGCAAGAGCTGAGCTATCTGCCTGGCTTTCAGACACCAAACCAGGCTCTGGTGTAACGGGGCTGTCTTGTTAAGTGTGATCCCAGTGGGTTGCGAGATGTCGCCAAGGCCAGGAGCTTTCATCTCGCTGCAGAAGACTCAGACTTTCCTGGAGAGCTCTTGGGTCTCTGTCACACCACGAAGAAGCCTGGCTTATTCAGTTCCAACTTCTGATGGATCATCGTGCTGTGGAACATTCCAGGCCTTTGGTAAGCC